AAGGAAAGTACCACAATGAAGTCCTTGAGCCACGGCTGGCCAGTAAAGAGTGGGTTCCCCAGGAATGGTTCTGCCTCGGTATCCCCATTGCACTCAGTCATTGGCTTATAGGAGGTGCCAGTTCACTCCGACCAAAGGTCATTCAGAGGACAAAATAGTCAATTCCACCACAAGAAAGGTGCTATGAGGTAGTTTCCAGCAAATAACATGGAACTAAGACAGAACTGACATGGCTTTCAGTATGTACCTCTCACTTGGTTAGAGAGGCTGCCATAGACAGGAGGAGTACAGGATCCTCTGGTATGTACCTTGTCCTTTGGCTTTATAGCCACATCCTAAAGTGTTGAGGAGATCATATGACACTCAGCTTGGCCCCTAGAGATGAAAAGCTGACCTAACCCTCCTGGAATTTGAACTTGTGATTGCCTGAAGTTAACAAAGATATCAACATGGACTCTGAGACTTCTAAATCATCCTCTACAATTTCATATGCCCCCAGGTCAACTCAACAAAAGAGCTATAACACATCTTCTTCAACAAGACAAGAGTTGATGTCTGGGCTATTTTTCAATCATTCACTACTCTTTTCTCTCCCTCCCCCACCCTCTCTCATTTTGCCCCTTTGCGGAGAAGGTTAATGCCAAGTTAGTATTTTATACTGTACAACAGGCTGCCACTATTCCATGCTAGACAGTATTTCCCCAGTCTTTTCTTATAGGATGCCAAGTTTTTCCTAGACAATATCACACAATACTTTGCTTGTTTGTGGAGTGGGTGGAGATGGAAATATAGTCTATTGAAAATATCACTGCTTCCTCCTTGAGATTTCAAGAACCTATTATCTTCTTTTAGACTGTCTCTCGGCAAAAATCTCATAAAGACAGGAAAAGGAACCATTTATGTTATCTAAAAGGTTTGCTTTTGCTAATAGAATACTGTATCTAAAGTATCACACAGATAGGGTCCAATTGACATGGGATATAGGAAAGACATTCACCCTTCTAAGAGTTTCCTTTGCACCACTTTCCTCTCTAAACCAACATCTGCTACCAGCCAGGGTCATGAATGCCTTGTGATATTTTCAACTCTTGCTATTGGAAAGAGATTTGGATACTGGGGCACTAGGCCTTTTCTTTGTCTAACTCAAATAAGTAGCAGAGGTATCAGAGTGGCTAATTGATGAGCTGTAAATCCAACGAAACAGGAGAAAAATCCAAACTTCTATCTCATCTTCACTGTAAAAAGCCAGGCAAGTTTGCTACTTGGTTTCCAGGTTTCAGAGTCCTGAAAGCTCAAGTGATAAAATATATCAATATCTTAAAATCTCCATCTCTAAGAATTAAATAAGGAAATGTGTACAGTGATAAGCATGAATAATTTAGACCCCAGCATGCAATAAATCCTCGCAAGATGTGGACTACTATTACTTCAGTCATAGTTCTATCAACATGCTACTATGACACCTCGAGGCATCAAGATACCTTATGAGCCTCCACTTGGAAATGGGATTGAGGCAATGGCACTTCACTAAATGGGCCTGAGAAGCCTTGACATGAAATGTCAAGAATGACACTCTTCTTATTGTCATTGTCTTTAGCCTTCAGTGATTTTCTTCATCTAAAATTTCATGGATATCGTTGCAAAGGAAAGTTTGGAGCTGGAATAAGAACCAAGACAACTTTAGGATGTTCATAGACAAAATACAACAATTGCTTATTGCCAATCAGTCTCTTCTTTTGTTTATTCTCTCATGAGTCTGTTAACCCTTCCATCAGAAGGATTTTCTTCAACCCACCCCAGCTACTAGAAGACCATCATTTTTTTTTTCTTTAATCCTTATACCTTCTCTGGTATCAATAGGAAACAGTATTTACTCACTACTGTTTTTCTTTTCAAAAATCTGTCTAGTTGCATACTAGAAACAGTTTCAGCTGGTTTGTTTGTCTTGGACAAGTTGTTGAAGTGAAAAGTTTTTGCTTGGCTGAATTCAGGACAGTTTCATAACCCTGGAAGAAGTGCATGGAACGTGGGTGCCAGCTTTGAGGCCGCTGCTTCTAATGTGTTTCCACTTGCTGCCCATTGTCAAGGGTGGCTGGCCGTAATTAAATTAAGACAATGAGCAACGCAACAGATGCAACTGAGACCACATCCCTGAGTGCTTTTGTTTTGTCACTGTCATTGTCTGCAACAAAGAAGTCACATGTGACAGCCTGGGAAGAGAGCCAAACGCAAACCAGACGATGTTCCAGCTGGTTTTGAATGGCCTGTATGTACGTGTATGTGCACATAGGAACTCTGCTACTTGCAACAATGATGGATATATTTTGGCCCAAAGCTTTGCTGTGATGCTGATGCCTCACAAGAAAAAGACCAGAAAGGGTGGGGGGAACCTCTGCTCAACTTTATACTTTTGACCTTTGGCTTTGAGAAACAAAGGAGGATCAGAAGATAAAGCTTGGTGAGATTGGTCAAATGAACCTTGCATGAATTGGAAGAATGAAGCACAAAGGATACCTGAATGTTTTTTTTCCCACCAATCTGTAATTAACCCAGCCTGACAGAACAAATGGGATTGATAGCTTGTGAGGCTTTCTTTTCCTTGTTTCTGCTTCATTCTTGAGAATTTCCTTAATTTGGGAATTTCCAATTCTTTAAAGTCTTCTTTGTGTCTACGATGGTATGCATCTTCAACAACAACAACAAAAAAGCAAACCTCAAGTATTCTGCTACTGATTAGTAGTTTGGTAGAAAGGTGGTACCCTAATAAGAGGTATTTTCAGTGTTTAATGGACCACATAGCATCAGCAGGTCCACACAGAGATGTCTTCAGTGTGTTTTCAGATGTCACAGATGTCTCTGTGACCCTATGTGTCCTTATCTTTCTAGAAAAAGCACATAGGAAACCAAGATGTAGGATTACTGGTAAATTAATGATAGATGTTTTGCACAACCACAAGTGTGTAGGAGCCAGAGCTGGTAAAAGCCATATGCTTTTTGAGAGAAAAGTGCCAGGATTTTAAACAGATGGTATTTCCAACTATTCTATTTATAAATACCAAGTTTCTTCTCACCAGTTTCTTTTGTGTTGTTCACTTAGCTAATTGTTTGAATAAATGTTTTTATACAATGATGCTACCTTCCTTCTAATCCATCAGGACAGGAAATTCACCACCAATCTATACAATGCTAGCTGCCTTTCATGGTAAGAACTGAACAACACATATAAGAAACAAGTATCAATTCTTTGAGTCTTGGCCAATAGGTATTACTTCCAAGGAATGATGGTGGGCTTCCCCCAGTTTCAAGATCAAATCCTTGCTAGCTCTGCGCATTCTGAAGATCATTAGCTCCTAACACTGTTGTGACTGGGTAGGTGTTCACCTTCACCAGAGGGCAAGTTTGGAGGTTCTAGCTATCCTAAAGAGAAATGCTGTTTTTGGTCTTATTGGAAACATTCTGAGGGTTGCACCACTCTGTACCAACAACTGCCCACTACATATTCTGGATCTAAGTAAAACCAAGCAAGAAAGGACCTCAAGTAAATGACTATAAACGCCATTTTTTGCTTCAAAGATAAGTCCCTGACCTTGTAGAGCTTCTATTCTAAACAAAACTCAATATTCCTTTTATCATAACCTTGATTGTTGAAAGACTGATAGCACTAGCAAAGATCTCAGGATTTGGGACCTTGGGATAGTTATTTTCCAATAGAGATGATAGCAATTAAACACCAATTTGAGTGGAATTGGTAAGACTTATGTGTATCCTGTGTCAGGTCCAGTGTTTGTACTTTTATGTACATTAATTTTAAATATTCAATTCTCTAAACTAATTGCTATAGTGGATTTTTTTTAAACTCTAGAATTGGCATTATCATTTGCATAAGTTTCCATTGCTGGGAAATGTGAAGAGCTAAGATTTGAACTCAGTTCAGGATCTCTGTAGCTTTACAAAACTTCCCAATCTCCTATTTCTAAAATGCTGCCTCTCTCCAGAGAGGTGGGCAAGGGGAGAAACTCTTCTTTACAAAAATTACAACAGAACCACTGGCAATAAAACAACCAAGAAGGAGCCCAAAATCTGATGCATATTTTTTATTCTCACTAGGAAAAGATTTCATAGAACAGAAGGATAATAATGTTGGGATTCTCTTTTTATTAATGAGTCTGTGATAGAGGCAGATGGGAAACAATACATCTCTGTTATTTCAAAGAAACTTGCGTTATATAGCCACCAAGCGTACACAATGTAGCATGAGTAAGTGTTAGCTGATGAATGCACCAAAAGCCTATCCACTTAAGTATGTATTTCTCAGAAAAGTTAATGTTCAGAGATCTCTTTTAGCTTGATTAGCAAGGCGTAAGATACAAAAGATTGAGACCCAATGTTAGAAATAGACGGGCACAGTTAGATAGGAGGAGTTAGTACATCTTCCATAGCACAGTAGGATGATTACAGTTTATAATATTTTACTTAAACAAAACTGAAGGTAGAATAATTTTCAGGGAGATTTTTTTTTTTTTGCCTGAACTCGGCCTGGGTGCTGTTCCTTAGTTCTTCAGCTCAACGCTAGCGCTCTACCACAGTGCCACTTCCAGCTTTTTCTGCTTATGTGGTACTGAGGAATCGAACCCAGGGCCTCATGCATGCAAGGCAAGCACTCTACCACTGAGCCACCTCCCCAGCCTAGGGAGATTAATTTTTAATGTAGAAATGCTAATTACTCCGTTTTGATAATTATATGTTGCATATACATATTGAATTATCTATTACACTGTATTACACAAAATGGGTAATTTTAAAATAAATTATTTCTTTTAACAATTTAAATCTTAAAAGGCATGGCTCGCGGGGTTAAATACCAGCTATGAGTGAAAAAGCCTGACCGAAAGCACAAGGCCCTGAGTTCAAGTCCCACAGCCAGCTCACACACAAAATACACACATCAGTATATATAAAACCTCACCAGACTAATGATGACCTTTCTCCTTTATTTGTAGGAAGTACATTTGAAGAACGCAAGTAGAGGGAGTACAGGAAATAAGAACTACAGGATGTAGGAAGACTCTCTTGAGACGTGAAGAAGAATATGTCACCATTGGATCCTTTACTCCAAGGGAGTTACCTATTAAACATTGGAACACCTACCAAAAAAATAAGTTTGACGACATTTCAAAGATGGGCATTTTCCTCCAACGAAATACCTAAGTAAACATTCCAATGTTGTCTTTAAGAATGATTTGTTAAGAAGGCTTTTTTGCACTTTGCAAAAATGGTCCTGGAGTTGGTAGATTGCTATTGGTCTTTTATCAATAATATTCTATAGGAAAAATATATATATATATATCTTAGTCCCTGCCTATCAAGATCCACAAATGCATGGATGTTGTATAGATCCAGTTGCACTAAATTTTTCTGTGAATCCTGGCTGCTGAAGCCATTCATTCAGCACCTTGTCTAAGTGTTTATGAAGTGTTTTCTTAATTGTGATCTTTCTATATAATATAAACCGTTGGTTTTGGAGTCTGATGATCCCTCTTTATGACATTTGTTTTTGTTGAATTTGGCCTCTTCCAAAGCAGTAAATACCAAGTAATCAAATGGCCCACTAATTTTTAACTCACACAATTCCACCTGTGGCATTTATACCGAATATAAGTTTGATGCATTTATTCTAGGCACAAAGCTTCATTTTTTCACATCACACTACAAAAAGAACATATATATATATATGTACATTGCAAATAGTTGCAACTTGAGGCCAATCATTTTTACATGTATGTTCAAAACAGAAAGTCTCCTAAAGCTCTCAATGGTTTCTTCGAATGAGTTAGTGTGTAACCTGATTAGTAACTGCTCTCTTTTCACTTCTCCCATATAGAGCACTATGTAAATTTAGCATATCAATAATACAAGATATATCAAACAGTATGTAAAACTTTGTTGGTTTTTTTTTTAGTACAATGGTGCTATTTTGTAGTTTGTTATATGAACGAGTCTGGTCAAAATGGTAAATGGTGAAAGCAAAAACAAAAGGGAAAGCATGAGGATGCCAAAAATGACCCAAAGAGAAAGGAAAGCGAAAAACTGACAGCTTGGGAAAGAAGGTAAAGTGCCCCAATTATGCCTTCCAAGAGGAACTTAAGACACAAAACCCACTAATGCACATTTGACAGGCTAGTCCAAAGAGGAAGCCTTAGCATGGAAACCACAAAAGGTCAGACATTTTTTTAAGTCTTGGTTTCTTTTTTCCTCACTGAACAAAGTAACATCTGCCAGCTCTGCCAGGGACTCACCACTGTGTGACCTTGGGCAAGTCACTTCACCTCTCTGTGCCTCAGTTTCCTCATCTGCAAAATGGGGGCAATATGTCATCTACCTACCTCAAAGGGGTGGTATGAGGATTAAAAGATAAAGCTTCAGATCTTTACTCTGAGTCCCTAGAAAGGTGGAACATCAAAGCCCTTGCACTGTTGAATACTCACAATAGGTTTAGTAAACAGCCGCAGTTACACACAACAGAGCTCACGAGTTATAAGCCACATGCTTCTGATAACCCCAGTTCTTTTCAATGAAACTATCCAACTAATTAATTTGTCTGGCTAATTGAGGAATGTTCAGAATGCAATCTCTTAAAATACTTTCCGAAGTAAGTGACAAACATGTGAGTTATAGTTTGATTTTTAAGTCTTCATGTGAACTTTGGAATATAAAAACTAAAAAAGAGGAAGGAAAAAGGTAGAAAAATAAAACCATTTCTTCAGTGAACGAGTAATTACTGTTAGCTCTGGGTGTTCCAGGAAGTTACTCTCTTTTAATTTTATAATGATAATCTATTCATTTTTAAAAACATGCTTTCCTTCTCTTTAGATAACATATGAATATAGCCCAAGGTTTCAAATTCTGAAAGAATACCTAATTAAAAGGTCACAAAATTTCTTTAGGGAACTTTTATATTTAATTTATATGCATGTATTTACTTTTTTGTCTTGTTAAAATGTGCTGTCTAGACTTGTGAGCTGAGAGTCAAAAATGCCCTTCTCAACCCTTCCTGTCTGCTTAGAAAAATGGCCCTTAGCTTTCTGATACAATTGAGGATATTCAAGAAAATTCAGTAATGAGGACAAGTCCGTGTGTTAACCTAAACCTGCCCCCTATCTCTGGATCAAGACTTTTCTTTTAAAACATTGAATCACCCAACGTTCAGATCTTTTTGATCTGCCTTAGACTTACTTTGTGTGAAAAATGTGCCAGTTTTATGATCTTATGCAAAATTCATATAAAAAAATTACATCCTGAATTTTCTTTCACTGAGTTACCTAAAGGTACAGAAGTGGGGATGGGGGTCTTCTTGGACCTGCATCTTTGACTGAGAGCAAAAAACAAACAAAAAGAAGGAAGAAAGGAAGGAAGGAAGAAAGGAAAAGAAAAGAGAAGAAAGCAAGCTATTCAGTTAGCAAGCATCTTAGCTCTCAGTTCTCAGTAGTGATTTCAGTTGAGCCCCTTGGCATGCTGGGAAATATTGTGATTACTATGGAGAAACAGAAAAGAAACTATAGGTCAATTTTACCTTCTGCCTGTTTTCCAGACAGGTGGTAAGATGAGAGGCTGGATGCTCTCCCCAGGAGGCCACTTCTGACTTTTACTTCTTGTTTCCAGTGTGTACCTTTTAAAATTGCTGACTCCCTTAAAAAACTTTACAGACAACTCTTCAGACTTATGGGTTTCATGACTTAGTTGGATATAGTAGTTCTGAGGCTCTATGATTTGCTTTATTCATTTAATTCTAGGATATAAATCTCCTAGCGGGGAAAGCTTAAACGTGCAATATATGGGTTTTTTTCCGATAACTTTTTTCCAATGCATAATCCTCTCTAACCAGATTATAAATCAATTAATAAAAGTCAATTATGCTAATCCACCATTTTACCTTCAAATAACTATGAAGACAATTCTATGTAAACTCGGGAAGTTTTATGAAAGAATGACCTGTGATGGATAGAAAGGAGTACCTCAAACTTCACAGTTCTAAACTTTACAAGCTTTGCTATGGAGTTACATTGTTTTAGTGCTTAGAAATGGGGCAAAATGATGATAAATGTAAGATTTGAACTAGTATGTTTATCTATGATTTAGTTGATATCACTCAATACCTAGATCAAGTTTTGGTCCCATTAGAGTTCCACTGAAAGGTAAATGCACCACTCCATCAGAATACATGCCTCTAAGGTAAAAAATATTCTTTATATTCATCCTAAACACAGACAGAGACACAGACAAACAGACAGACAGACAGACAGACACACACACACACACACACACACACACACACACACACACACACACACACACACAGAGGGACAAATATCAGCTTAAATATCCAATAGAATATAAAGAAGAAATCACATCCTTCCTTGCAAATCTTATTTAAAACAAAAATGAAACAAAATTAAATTTTTAAAAAAGATTCTTAAGCTTTCTTAAGAATCTCTCCTCTCCTTGGATGTCAAATTTTGTGCAGATAAAACCATCTCATGCTCTATAGCTTAAAATTTTTTCTTACTAGCTTGTGTACTGGGGGGAATGCTAGGCATAGAAAACGTAGCATATTTTTGCTTTCCCATTTATTGTTTGGCCAGCTATGCCAGTGGTGCTATTGTTTCTTTAAGAAAGTACTTGACTAAAAAAAAAAAGAAAAAAAGAAAAAAGAAAAAAAAGAAAGCATAGACATATTTTTTTAAAGTATGAAAACGACAATTCTATAGATAGATGGCTTAATAAAATAGCATTAGATCTAGCCACCTCCACCATCTTTCGATGTTTTATCATTTACAAGTATTATTCACTAAATTGTGAGTTTGGAGGTTCAGGGGCAGAAAATGGAAATTGCTCAAAAAAATTAGAAGGCTCGATTATTTTGTTGGCTCTTGAACTCAACATAGCAATATATCATATAATCTGAACACTTTTATCAAGAGCTTGAAGTAAAAAAAAAAAGAGGGGGCAGAGAATAGGTCTTACTGGTAATCGGCAGAAGAAAGAGAATTAAGTTGCATATTGGGTCTTGTGTGTATGTGTATGTATGTGTGTACTCTGCTTAAAAATAAATATTCAGCAAGTGGAGAAAACAAAAACAAAAAAGGATAGATTTTTCTTCCTACTAAAATATAGCTCTTGCCACATCCTCCTTAAGTATACTTTCCTGTTGACTGGTTTATAGAAGATGGTCTCCTTTCCCATAAATATCTGAAAGAGTAGTAGCTCATGTATAAAGCAATCACTGATCTCAGTGGAAAATGTTGGAAAGTATCTCCTTATGAGATTGGGGTTATCTATTGTTTTAAAAATGAAAAGAGAGAGAAAGATTTATGAGTAATTGTTGAAATTTGAAATGGCTAACAATCTGTGAAGATATTTTGGGGGTTTTGTTTAGGGATTTTTTTTCTTTATACAATCTTTATGAATATCTTAATGTTCAAAACAACTTCATCTTTTTTTTTTTTGTATTGGAATGAAGGATGGTGAGTTGAACCACTTCTTTAAACCACAGGCTAGATAGAAATGTAGGTTTCACTTATGGAATCAGACTATTTAAAATTTTTTGCTATTTTTCCATTTTTAAAGACTGTTCTAATTCATTAGAGTAGAATTTGCTGGGCACTCCTCACAGTGGGGGAAAAGAGAAGAAAAGTTTTCTCATTCCAATCACATAGGCTTTCCTATCAGGACTTTTTTTTTAAGATAAATTTGTTTATTTTTAAAAAAAAGTAGAAAAATTGCAGATTATCATGTGCCCCCCCACTTGAATAAGAAATAAAAGGAAGATTGCGTTGATGCTTTTGTTTTTGTTTTGTTTTCAATGCTAGTGTTTAATCAATCCTATAGTATATATTTGCTTATTGCTATTTTAATATTCTATAAGATTTTTCCTGTTAGGTATTAGGAATTGATACATAGATATCATATTTTTGTGATTTTTCTATTTTTTAAAGGAGACTGTCTGAAGCTTTAAGTGCATATGGTACAGGATAAATAGAACAATTTAATTACCAAGTTGTATCTGGAACAGTCCTTTTTTTTTTTTTTTTTTTTTAGGAAAAGTCTTGCAGATAAGTCATAGGCCAAGGGGATTTTATAACCATCTTTATTCCTCCAAGTCATTTTTTTCATTGTCTTCTCAGAACTTTACAGAGGGCTAAAATCCTAGAATTAAAGAAACCTCTTTAAAAAAAAAAAACCTATATTATAAGTATTTTCTTGTTATGTATAATTACATTGGTCATAAATATAGCCCACTTTCCTTAGTTTTCCACCTGTGATTGATATGAAAATTTTATTTTTCAATTTATAAAAACAGAGAACACAGAGTCCAGATGTCACTGTCCAATTAAGCTAAGATGGAAATCGTCTCTCCTACTTAAAGCCCCAAGGTGAATCACCCTCAAAATGACCTTTCACAATCCTTCGAATTCACCTTTGTTTAAATTGTCCAGGCCTAAAAGCAAATATTACTCATTTTCTTTGCCCCAAAGGCACTGATGTAACATAAAAAAAATGGAAAACAGAATTCTAAAATCCCTCCCAAGACACCCACTGACCCCACTCACAGACTCAGAGCAAAGCCACTTCTGCTGACACCTTAATCTGATTTTATTTGGTTATTTATCTTGTACCTGCTGCTAAACACACTGCAAGAGGGACTCTGAAACCTCAAGCTGTCTATTCATGTCTCCTATTTATGTATATGTATCATTAAATTGTCTATCCAAAATAATAAAACCTTCCAAACTTTGCACAGCTCAGATTCGGTTTACATAAAAGCCCTAAATACCAAGTCAGATCTCTTCTTGCTAAGAGAGTTAATGAACTATGAGAATTGGGATTCGATCATGTACTTTGCTTAATGTATTTTTATCACACTTATAGGCTAAGTATGATAAATAAACTTATACTTGCTGAATTAATTTGCCCTGCTACTCTGAAATCAGGAAATAATGATTGGTCATATTGTATCTATTTTAGTTCAAAAGCAAACTTTGTATCAAATTTATTCTAATTGTATTTGCAATTATTATTCAG